TGCAAACTCTCCAAGCTGTGCTCAGCTCTGGTGCCCGGGCAGCCCCCCTGTGCTCCCATCCTCCCTGGCTCAGGAACAACCAAACCAGCAGCACTAGCAGCTAGGTCAGGCAGGAGACCACGTTTGTCCTCGCTGCTCGCTGGCTCTCTGCCAGGCCCCGGCTGTGCTCCCTGCCCACCTCCCACGACATGGAAAGCTCATCAACCCCTGCGTGCCTCCACAAGGCTTCAGCCAGTCGGCACTGAATAATTGATGCTAAGTGGAGCCTGGAGCAGAGCCAAACTGAGGGAGGGAGCAAGGCTTTGTGCTGGTTTAGGCTCTGCTCCCAGGATACAGCACGGGGAAGAGAGATGGGTGTGCTGTGTCTGGCAGCTTTGTGCCCCAGCCAGTTTGGCAGGGCACTCGGAGTTTGGCTGAGCCTGGGAGCATTCCTCCTCTTGGGCTTGCTGTGCTGCTCACCTGCTGCTCACGTGCTGCTGTGTCCTGCTGCCACAGTGGTGCTACCATCCAGCACCTGCTGCTGTGGCACCTGTGGGAGTGGCAGGCTGCTCTCGTGCTCCTCGTGTGGCAGCAGTGGGTGGGACTTGAGGAGCAGAGCAAGGGGACCCCCAGTTCCAGCAGCCTTGGCTCTCCTCAGCTACAGACTCTGTACTCAACCCATAGCAAGAGCAAAGGAGTTGCACATGGGGCCAGGCCTATCTGCCTCTTCCCTTTCCCACCAGCTGCTAGGGGCCAGGATGGTGGCTGTCACACCATCCTCTGAGCAATGTCACCCCCTTCCTGCAGCACATCTCCAAGTATAAAGCAGCATATGGAGAAAATAAGAGCCTGGCAATTTAAAGAGGCAGGTCTGACTGCTTCCCAAACCATCTCCCAAATCCTACTGCCTCAGCATCTGAGGAGGCCCATAGGGCATACACCAGCATCCTCTTCACCTAGAAGGATGTGGGCACCAGGACAGTGCAGGAGACAACCAAACCACAGCTGAAACATCTCACCAAAAGATGCAACAGGTGGACCCATCCCACAAGCATCCTTACACACTGGCAGCAGTTACAAAATAGCCAAAGATGGGGAAAGAGAAGGCTTAGAAGGCACAAAGACATGAGTCCAAGGGATTAGAATCATTAAAGCCTGGCTATTCTTCCACACAGTAAAACAGTCTCCTCCTAAGACACAGAAAAAGGTAAACTAAGAAACTTCCGATTTTGCTCAAAACTGGTATGAGCTCCTTTAGAGGTACCTGTGGCTACGTGCCACATGCAGTATCACAAGCCCTTCTTCCAACCATCCCATTAAGAGCTTGGGCCACTCTGGTGCCGTGGAGGCCACTCAGGCTGGCCTCACATCAGAGCCCTGCTCCTGGAACATCTAAGCCTACAGACTTAGATAACCTCAGGCTTGGGGAAGCTGTTTCTCAGGTGGCTTTGCTTACCTTTACGGTGAAGGCAAGAAGTGATACAGAAGTACTGCTTAGGCTGGAAAGTGGCTGTAGTCCAGAAGGGAAACGTGGTCTGCTCCTCTACCCAACCACACTGCAGGTGAGGAGGATGAGGCCAGCATTTAGCCAAGGCTGCTCTGTAAAACTCAGCCTTTCATTCAGCTGTCTCCACCACCACCCTCACATTTCAGGTCTCATTCCAGCACTGAGTTGTTGCTACCAGCTCCTGCACAACCCAGGTCTTTGCCAAAGCCCTCAGCAAGCACCATGCACTCACCTGCTTTGGAGTCGCCCTCTCTGCTGGCTTAGAATGCTCCTGTGGAAGCCCTCAACAACCAAAAGGCCTGAGATCTGCTCAAGCACTTGATCAGCATCTTTAAGGACTTGTAAGCAATTCTGGCAGTTGACTCAGCTGTGATGTCTCTGGTGCCCCAACCCCTCTGTAACAGGGTGTGGGGCACTTGAATGATGTGAGTGAAGAACATGTGTTATACGTCTGTCCTGAGACATCTGGACCTGACCAGACTAGAACAGACCTTGTCAGCTATTCTGTCATTTACGTACAGGTTCAAAGGTGGCACTCCTCCATCATGGCATATTGCAGTCTCAACATAATCAGAGGATGCTGACTGAAGCCTTCTCAGAGCTGGTTTTCACACTGGCTGAAGATCCACAGCACAGCACAAGTTTAGTTCAGCTTTGCCATGGCCCACTGAAGAGATCACAACAGCCAGAATGAGCTGATGTACTCAAATATAGCAAAAAGCTCACCTCTGGATTCTTTTCCAGCTTCAGCTATGCAATAATCAAAATAACTGTACATTCTGTTCAGCTGAGCTCGTGCCTCTGAAGCAGAACTGAGGAACACTACAAACTCCTTATCATAAGGGAAACAACTGCAGTGTCTGAAAACTCAATCTTCCGTCCCAGTACTTGTGGAACAAATGTGGCTTGAATAACTATGGGGAAAATCAACTCCAAACCCCTCAATTTATTTTCCAAACCTACATTCACTCCAGTGAAACTGTAATCCTGGTGTTATTTTCAGACTCGAGAAGTTCAGCTAGCATCGTGAGCTCAGGTACCAACCTCCTGCCTGTCAGGGGGTAGCAAGATGATGTCCTGTCCCCAGATCATCAGCACTAAGGCAGCAAGGGAAAGAGCCAAGTCAAGAGCAACAACTCCACCTGAGAGAAGTGATAGAATCTGGTTTTTGCCAACAGCAAAGATCAGATCATAGCTGATGCATCTTGATCTGCTGTGATTTTCCTCCTGGAACAAAGATGCAGTACAGCATTAATACACAAAACGTGGAGAAGAGCTGTGGTGTCAAGCTTTTAGCACCTCCTTTTGCTCCTAACCTACATCCAACTTTTAGCATGGACTTGAAGAATGACCTGTGCCTGGATTTCTTGTGACCTTCTAATTACAGCAAAAAGCTAACCAGCTCCTGTGATGGTCTGTCACTGACCAGGACTGTCTGACAAGCTGACAAGCTTGAAAACCTTACCGTGAGTGCAGAAACCTCTCTGAAAGGGAGATGCTCTTTCTTTAGCTTCCTGCTCCTCACCAAGCTCCTGTAAGTAATTTGTATTCTGGCCAGTGCTGTTTAGCATATCCTCACCACAATGTGCCAGTTTCTTGAACTGCAGCTATTGCCTGCCCTGCAAAGACACCTTGGCTCTGGTGCTCCCTGGAGCTCTTCAGCTTCCTTGAACACAGCTCCCAGCCAGAAATGAGAGGAGACTCTCAGTGGTTAGAGCCATCCAGTCCTTGAGAGAGCCCCAGTGTGTTACTTCTCTGAAGCCTCCAGATAGATCTATCCCATCCTTCACCAAGGGCCTGGGGAAGAATGAGAGAAGTTCTTCTGCAGATGAAGATCACCATGTTCCTAGTGCAGCAAGACTACCAAGCAAGGGCCCCCAAGTCATCTTCTAGAAGGACAAAGTACCCCGTCCTGTGGCCAGTTGTGCACAAGATAACAACTTTAGGAACAAACCCCATACTTCCAGGCTTCACACTTGAAACAACTCGGAGTGGGAAGTTTTCTGGGCATTTCTGGTCCACTCCCACCATGTAACATCAGGTTCAGCATCTTCAGCAATCCTCCAGTACAGGGACAGATGCTGCTGCAAACAGCACACACAGCTACAGGCAGGGCACTCTCCCCTTGGGCAACTTCTCCCACTCCAGCTGGTATCAGCCCTTCTGCAGGAACAGGGTGCCAGGCAGCTGCAGCCAGGGTGAGGGCTGTGCCCTACAGCAGTTCAGAACAGGCATTTACAGAAAGCAAGCCATTAGCACAAGTCCCCTCTTGCCCAGGCCAAAAGCAAAGGCAGCACCCCCAAGGAGCATGGGAGCTGAATTCTGCTGCTGCCTGGCATGATGGAACATGGGGTGTGGGATAGGAGGCTGCTTGCATGGATGCTGGGAAGCTCTGGGTGGGCTGTGGCTTTGTGCTGGGGGGTGACCAGGGTTTCTGTACTGGTTTTGCCATATGAGGCATATGACTCACGCCACCCTCACCGCTCCAAACCCAGACAAACCTTGGCTGCCAAATCCAGCACCTCTTCAGGCCTGGGCTAGCCCATGCAGAAGAGCTCCCTGCCACACTCCGCTGGATCACCTTCCTCCTTTGATGCTCCTAATTCTGGATGCCAGCTAAATTAGCCTGTGCAATAGCTTGGAAGAGGAAAAGACAGCGAGTACCAAGCCACCCGCTGCACTGAGTGCAATGCCTTGGGGCTGCAAGTGAAAGGCACATAGGTCAGACCTCAGGCAAAAACCTCAAAGGAGCAGGGCTGAGCAAAGGGTTCCCAACAGATTAGCCCTTATCCAAAACACTCTAACCCACTCTAAACCCAAGGACTGGAAGCCTGAATCCTTTAATCTTAGTTGCTGAGCAGCCAGACAGCTTCTGCAGTGCAGGAGAGCCCTTCTCAACATGCTCACCAGTAAGAAAGCCGTGCACAGGGCAGACAAGGATTTGCTTACCTGTACGTACTGGAGCAGCCCAAGCTGTGTGTGCTATACAGGTGCTGGCATAGCTAGGGCTGGAAGGTACCAAAAAGTCCTTATTCTACCTCTAGAGCACAACACATGATGGAGGTCTTGAGCCAGAAAGAGCTGACAGGAAGAGAATCAGGGAAGCAACAAACTGCTGAGGTGAACCCAGCTCTTGAATCTCCTCCCTGATGCTTCTTCCCTTCCAGGCACTGCATCTGAGGCCATATATCCCACAAGGACCAGGCTGAAAGCAAAGCACGCAAGGGGTCCCAAGGACAGGCTTGGACTGATTGCACTCTTCCACCCTCCCAAAACTTGGGGCCAGCAGAGTTTCAAGTGGGCTGGGGTGGACATAACAAAGACTTGCTGGAGACAGAGACAAGCTGTCCTGCCCTGAGAGCTTGTCTGTCTCACCCCAATCACCTCCATGATCTACACCATGACCTTGGTCTGTGGAGAGCAAATCTCAGCACCCTTTCCTCCCCGCCATCCCACCAGTGATCCTTCTGGAGCACCAGCAGCAGCCTCTGGAAGGACACAGCCATCAAGGTGATTTGTTGAGACGATCAAATAATAATTTACTGTGATTCAATCTGTGGCTTTGTACAGTTGCCGGGGTGGGAGGAGGCCAAAGGATGAGGGGACGGGGATAAAAAAAAAAAGTTGTTTGCCGCAGGCTTGGATGAAGTGTGAGATAGTCCTTGGAGGGCCTCATGCTCCCCCTGTCCTCTTCCTCCTCCTCCTCTCCTCCCCCCATACTCCTCTGAATCCATTTGCTTCTTCCTTTGCTTCACCTCTTTCCTTGCGCACTGCACAGTGGGAACCTCGCCAAGACACGGTCCAGACAGCTGAAACAGAAGAGGACGCTCATGAGCACCCATTCTCTGTCAGAACAAGCAGGGCTGTTCCCAGCACTCATCCCTCCCATTCTGGGATGACCCTGTTAGTGCCCACAAAGCAAAAGGAAAAGGCTACACAGGTCTTAGAGGTGTGGGCCTGGCTCAGCAAAGCGTCTGCTGAAAGGAACAAGTCTTGGAGTCGGTGGAGTGATGGCTGAGTTTTGGGACCTCACCAGACCTTCAGCCTCTTTCTGAACCTCCTTGTGGGAAAGGGCACTGTTTGGCAAGATCTTTACACCTCCTCCAGGGATGATGGGAGCCACAAAATGAGTCCAGGGCAAATGCAGTCAAATTTTGTTGGCCACACACCCACCCTTCTTCTCCCCAAATTCCAGCATGTATTTGCTTCACTTCTCCTTTTGTGCCTTGATGTCCCTCCCTCTCTGCTCTTGGGCACTGCAGCTAGATTAAGCTGGGATGTCTGGTCTGCAGTTTCTGCCTGAGCAGAAAAAGACACAGGCAACTCACAGGGCATGTTCTCTTAACAGAGAGGAGTGTTTCCAAGTGACCCTTTCCCAACCCTTCTTGTCCCAAGCTGGTGCTGCCACTGGGCTGTGACAAGGATTGGGCTCCTGGCAGTCGGTGTAAAGGAGCAGCAGTGCCTGCCAAGCCCTGTGAGCCAGAGCAGGAAGCAAGCCTTGAGCTCATATCCCCATCCGGAGGAAATACTCCTGAACATCTGGAGGACACAAACATCTGGAAAGTCTCCCTTAGCAGTGATAAGTGTGCTGGGCACAGCATTCAGCTCGGCCCCCAGCCGACCTCACACGCCTCAGCTGGGAGCAGAGGGGTGGGGTTCTGGGGTGGGTGTTTGCTCATAGGAAGCAAACGTTGCCAGCACTGTTTTGTTGGGGTTTTTTCCCTTGGGAGTGGGGGGCAGGAGGAAGAGCTCTGCTGTGCTCATGGCCTCTAGTTCAAAAAGCATCAGAGGAAACCTGCTGTCTATCTCCACCTTCACAAGAGCCTCTTAACACCATCTCTGGATACAGTGCAATTCTCTTCAAGACTCCAGAAGTTAATTAAAGGGGTGATGGGCCAGTCCAGGTGCTTGGGAGACTCTCCAAAAGACATTAAGGGCAATGATCATCCATGCTGTTGTCCCAGTCCCAGATGTCCTTAGAGATAGATCTCCTTGGTGGACTCATCCCTAGTTACCCCTCTCTAAATTTCTGCCATGGAAGGAGTTGGTTACACAGACAAATATCCCCAGGCCTTTCACTTAAGGCCAGCCAGCACATGAAGGGACAATAATAGGAACTCTCCCTGACTGCTATCCAGCAGTGTTTTAAATAAACTCACAATTAAAAAAAAAAATCGAAGAAAGAAGAAGAAAAACAGGCAAGTGAACATAAACAATCTGAAAAACACTGTTTCTGGCTCCAGCACACACAGTTTATAAAGGCAAACAGCCCCCTTATGGCTAATTCTCAACATTGCATCAGTTCCAAATATCCCAGGGGATTTATCTAATGGGGAAAACTCTTCTGAGGAACACAGGACTTTTCACAGTGAGACAGGTCTGCTCTAAAGCTTTAGGATGAGGCAATTTATGTGAGTGCATTAGGAGGCAATGCACCCAGCCAGCTCTTCATCTGAACCCTTCTAGAGCCAGTCTGCTGAGCATGCAGTGATCTGTACACCTTCAACACCAGCTTAACTCTTCTTTCAGAGCAGCAGCATGGGAAGAAACACAACAAAACATGCTTTTTAAAAAAATTCATTGTATAGAATTTTGTTGCACAAAATGAGGGGGAAAAATAAGCAACCCTTTCCTGCCGCACACTTCCTCAAGAAAGCAGGAATTTTGACTTACCTATGTTTTGACAGAAAAATGCTATTTCAATCCTAAATGTATTTCATTAAAAAATACCTGCTGCTGAAACTGATCCTGCTGCATTTGTCTGCAGGCTAGTGCAGTCACCTCCTGCCTTGCTTCCAGCGTTCCCCCCAGTGCAGCCCAAGTGCTGCTTCCACCACTTACCATAGTCACGATACCACACATTTACAGTTCATGCAGCCAGGGCCGCTCTCATCCGGGGGGTTCAGCTTGCGCAGCTTGTGCTGCCGGATCTCCCGCACCAAGGTGTAGAAGGCGTCCTCAACGCCCTGGGGAAAAAGCACAGCTTGAAGCAGCTGCCCACTCTGAGGAGGGACAGTGAGGGCTCTGCTCCCCAGCAAGGTGTCCCTAGCACTGTCCAGCAGTGCAGATTGCAGAGTTAAAGGTACAGAACCAAGCTGGGAAGACTAACAAGGACCTGAATGTGACCCTCAAATGGAGCAAGATTGAATGAGCAACCGTGAGGAAAAGGAGCTCTGAAGTCCCTGAGATTCATCAGCTCTCAGCAGTCTGAATGAGGTCTACCACCCAAGACAAAAGTCACCACTAGATCACTGAAGGTGTCAGTTCCATTTCCACCTCTGTGCTCTGGAAGCTCCACATGGTCCTTTCAGCACCAGTATATTCTGCCTGTAGGTCTGCCAAAATAGACCATGGATGAGGTTAGCCAAGTGACCTGCAGTGACTATGGAGGTTATTCCAAAGCCTTGGAGAAAGCCTTGAGGAAACATCTTCTCTTCACTGCTGCCACAGCATGATCATGCACGTCTCCTGATGGGAGGCTCGAGCCTGGACTGGGGAAGGAACAGCCTAAGGGAGCATTTAGCCTTGAGGAAGCAACTAAGCCCAGCCCTAACACCCATCTGTCTACAAGGTGGTGCCTGCCCATTCCTGCCCCTCCAGGGCAGCAATGGAGGAAAGAGAAGAAAAAGAGCATTTTGTTGAAAAGTCTCCTCCTACCTGTCTGGTTTTGGCAGACGTTTCTATGTAGGGGATCCCATAGCTCCGGGCCAGGTCCTGCGCTTGCCGGGTCTCCACTGTCCGTGCAGGGAGGTCACATTTATTCCCCACCAGCACCATGGGAACATCATCTGAGTCCTTCACCCTCTTGATCTGCTCCCTGCAAGAGGAGGAGGTGAGAAGAAGTGAAGCAGCAGCTCCAGAAAACTCCCCACCTTTTTTTTTGGTGAAGATTTGACAGCTACCCTTCTTCCTGTTGAGTGCCTTGTGTTGAGCTTTCAGGGAAATGCAAATTACTACAGCACACAAATGAGTAAACAGCAAAACAGTTAGTTTTGAAAATGAAAACTAAATATACTTCTGTTCTTTAAATGCAGCTATTTACAAAACAACTTGAATTATTACCATCTATGTTAAGACACGAGCTTAAGATAATTTAAGTTAAATAAAAATGAATTCTCATGCAGTTCCCTGTGCTATTTCCAACATTTTAGATCAAATAATCCCCCCCAAATGGGGGGAAAAAAGAAAATCACCTGCAACCAGAATTTGCAGAGATGATAAAGCAGCTTTTGGCAGCTGTAACCTTTTCTGCAGATGCACAGGCAGTATTTGCTCCCTCTCAGTTTAGTTCAGGTCACTCAAAGTTGAGAAACCAACTGGGAACTAAAAAAGCTGTAATGCTCACTTCTTCATTCCAACATTGGATCTAAAACTAGGTGGGCGAGGATGAGATCTACCACTTCTAAAAATCTTGAAGGCCATTATGACCACAAACAATCCATTCAATTCCCTTCTGATGGGTAATAACTTCCTTTGCTTAATAAATCATTTAACTTCAGATGCAAACCAGCTTTTTTTTTCGCTCATGGGTCCAGAACATTTAACATGGCTTTAATTTAACAAATAAAAGATTTTAAATGCCAATTTCTGCATTTTAACTGAATGCAAATCTCCATCCAAAGGCAGCTGGACATTTATCACACACAAAATAATCAATCATCTTCTTCTAATGTAGTAGAACATAGAAATGAAGTCTGACTATATGCATGATATGCCATAAAGCCATTTAAATGTTCTGTCTAACATTCTGATCAGCAAATGCAAGTACTAAATTTAGTGCACAGACTACACTTAGCTGAAAAAAGATACCTCCAAATGGTTACTAACCAGGGAGAGCCAGCATTTCTCTGGGGAATATTCTTTTAAAAGTGCAAACACAAAGAGCACAGGCTAAATGAGATGAAAGCCAGTGATTTACATCATGATGGCTTGAAATCGAGCCATCCTACAAACAATTCACAGGCACCAGCCCCAACACAAGGATGAATGCTGCTCAATCCTTCAGGTGCTTTAGGAAAATCCCATCCTTTGTCCTTGGGCTCAGCTAGAAGCCAAAGGAGTGCACCTGTGCAGCTATTACACTGAACAGCCTTTCGGATGAGACTGAAACATCTCAGCAGCTCCGAGCAGCACCTCCGACTACAGAGCAAGGAAGGGATGTGCCTGTCCTCGGAACAACAGCATTTCTGGGACCCTGGTTTATGATGAGCGACTGGGATACACAGTCCCTTGTGAGCAGTGGGCAGAGCAGGGACAGGCAGAGCCATCTCCTTCATCCTCTGCAAGTGCCTCCCATCGCAGACAAGCCTCAGAAAAAGGCACAAGCAGAGCGATCCCTCCCTAAGGTAGCATCGGGGTAAACAGGGAAGATTTTTGCTGTGTTTACATCATCCCCTTGACTCTTCAGCACTGCAGGGGAGACATCAACAGAGAGAAGAATCTGAATGGGTGCTGGACGGGTCCCTGCTTTGTCAGTGCTTCCCCATACATCTTGGGCAGATCATCTCACTGGAGCCCTGATTCCCCTTCTGCTCCATCTTTGCCCTGGTTGAAACCAAGCTCCAGTGGGGCAGGACTGGCTCTCCACATGTGTGTGCAGCTGGCAGAGCACAGCCTGGTCGTGACAGTGGACAGCAGGGCAAGCAGCTCTCCCTGTCCTTCCCAGCCTCCTCTCCCAGCTCTGGGGCCAGCAGAAGTCGCTGAGATCGATTGCGCTAACAAAGCAATTCCACTAATTAGGGAGGGAAAGGAGGGGGGTCATACAGGATCAGCTCTCTCTTTAGTCACCATAAACACTTAAACATTACATTACCAGGTCCCCAAAGGCCACAAGCAATCCCTTTGGAAGGGTTTTATTGGAGTCACTGACATTAGCCGTCTGCTCTGTCTCTTCCCTGGGGAATGGCCACTTGAGCTAATTGTCTTTGCTGGCAGTCTGTGCTTCCACCATGGGGCCTGATCTAAAAGGGTGGGCAGGAGAGTACAGCAGCAAGGCCTCCCCTTTGCACAGGCCAAGAGGGAAAGGGCCTTCCCAGCATACTGACCTGTACTGGTGAATATCTTCAAAGGACTTGGTGTTGTTGATGGCGAAGACACACAGGAATCCTTCTCCTGTCCTCATGTACTGGTCTCTCATGGCACTGTACTCCTCCTGCCCTGCAGTGTCCAAGATATCTAACAAACAGGTCTCTCCATCGATGACTACTTGCTTTCTGTAGGAATCCTGCAGGCCAGGAGAGGGAAAGGAAGAAAGATTAAGGGAGGGCTTGGATCTAGCTAAACAAAGGGATGCAACGAGTGCATCCCTGGGAAGATGCCAGGTCATGCTCTGTCTGTGTTCAGCTTCCATTAAAGAGACGACTCAATTTGTTTCAAAAATAGGAGGGAAAGGAAAAATAATTTAAAAAAAACGAAGGAGAAAGGGAGCAGCTAAGACAGGTTTCTCCTTGTCAGAACCACAGAGAAGACAGCTCCCAGCTTGCTCTCCCCATTCCCAGCCCTGCCTCTGGCAGACCAGGTGTGGCTTCATCTCTACCACACTGCATAGCCAAGTATTTCCTAAGCATTGTTTAGTCTCATCTCTAATTGCTTCTGCTGGAAGAGGAAGGACACTCAGGAGAGGAGTTCTGGCCAGTCAGGGCGTCCAGTCACTATGTGTGATCTGCTGGGCTGGAAAGTGTTTTAAATGACCTGGAAATCCAGTGCCTCCAATGTATCCCAAATCAGGCACCAGATGCAATATTGCCATCAGTAAGGTTTCAGACTGGGTTTGATGGTAAACCTCTTCTTTAAACATGAGAAAAAAAATAAAATCACACTGTGAACAGGGTGTTTCCCACAACCAGTCTGTGCCCAGAGGGCTCCAGGAGAGGTAAGAAATATCCAGGCAGGTCCTTTGAAGTTGGGGGTTTTCCCTGCAGCAAAGGCAATCACAACTTATCAAAGATGTGAGAAGGTCTGGAAATCACCCAGAGCACCCCTCAAAAGGTTTCGCTTTCAAGGCAGGTTCCTCAAAGCACTGCTCCTCCCCATTATGCTTCTCCCTGTGCTCAGTCTCATCAGCAGGGATGCTGTGGGGCAGCCCCTGCACCTCATCCCTCTCCAACAGCCATCCCCTGTGGACAGTGCAGCTTCCACAACCCCAGCAAGAGAAGGAAGCCAAAATGGAAAGTATGAAAAAGGTACAAGTCAGCAGTATAACCACTCAGTGCTTTGCAGCCACTCGCAGAGGCTATGGCTGCAGTTTAAAATTAATTCAAATGTCGGCTGCTCTTCCAACGACCACAACAATGTTATCAGATGAGCTTTGCACGTCTGCAGACAAACAGCCGACACAGCAAAGGTCACCAACAGGACCAGCAGCAGCACAGAAAGGGAATGGGGCCAACATGGCAGGCAAACATGGCCTCTTATCCTTTGGTTCTTTACAACAACGCCATTTGCTGGGGTCAATTAAAGTCTTTCCTCACCTTGAAGAGAGATCTGTGAAATCAGAGATGAGATCTGCTCTGCCACGACCTTCTATGCCTTCCCAAAAACTGAACTGCTGACCCATCGAGAATAAGCATGGAGTGAAAGGCTGGCTTTCAGCCAACTGCTCTGAAGGCAACTGGCAGGCTGCCCTGCAGAAATGTGCTCCCATTTCTAATCAATAATGTATCTGGAGCCTCCTTTGTGCAAGGGGACTCGAGTGCCTCCTCTGCCCCACAAAGCATCCTCCCACCTCTGCACCTTGGCTTGGGACAGAGGACCAGCCTCGGCACACATATTCAACAGTTAATTGCCAAGTTCCCTGTTCCAGGACGTTTCACCAGCACCCAGCATGCTGACAGAGAAGAGATCCCACACCTCAGCTCAGGCCATCAACAGGCTACCCATAAAGCCAGCCAGGTGGCTTACAAAGCAGAGACATAAAACAATCTTGCAGAGGATGTTTTGCAAAGGAAGGGGACAAGCCCTCTCCATCAATGCTTTGTGTACAGTTTCACTCGATCTCCCCCTCCTCAGGAAGCTCAGGATGGCAGCTCAGCTGTCCCTGCCCCATCACCAGGTGACATGGCTGCCACTGCCACTGCTACCAGCCCACACCAGCACCCTGCAGCCTCAGCACTCCTCTGCAGCCCTGCATGTCCCACCCCGCCCTGAGCAGAGGGGAATGCAGCCAGACCCAGCTGTGAAGTACCAGGCAGCAGAAACAACATCTGTTTGGGGCTGAGACTCACGATCCCAGGCGAATGCTGGGAGCGTCCCAGCTGTGCTGGGAGACCAGGCCAAGAGGCCCATTTGCTCAGCACTACAGTCAGGAGATGACCAGAGGTTTGGGAAGCCCATTACTAGCTATCTGCTAAGAGCTGCAAGATGAACCAAAGAATTTCTGAACACAGTGAAACTCGTTATTCCGTCCCTGCTTATTCACCATGGGACAATGCCAGTGGCATACCTTTTCAGGCTGCCTTGGCCCTCCTGTTCCCAAAACAAAGGCCCTAAGGCTCTTTGGCAGCCCAAGAGTTGGCCTGTGAGAACGTGCTGTAGAGGAGTGGACAGCGTTCAGCTACACAGCCAAATGTTTGCACTGGAGAATCAGGAGGGTAGGAGGAGAGCAGATACCCAGTCAGGGTCTCTGCCCCAGACAGGGGACAAACCTCCACCCCTCCTGCTCTGGGGAGCATCTTCTCAGTGCACCCCGATCTGCTTGCACGCCCGTTTTGCAGCACAGCCTGTGCTCAATCCATGTGGGTGACGGGAAACGCCTTTGCTCCGTGCACGTATCCTCTTTTCCCCCCCTTTTTATCCTGCTCATTTCAGCATTGCTGTGCTGCTTGTTAGCTGGCTGAACAGTCATAGTCAGCTCCTGGGCATGATCCAAAGCAGCTTAGTCACAGGAAGGTGGTTTGTTGGTCACATTTGGATGGCTGGCAGGTAGCTCTCTGTCTCTTAAATCCCCATAAAATGAAGCATAATTAAAAGGAATCACCCTGAAATGAATCAGTAGTTGGCCAGGGTAGCAGGGTACAACCAAGGGAGCTGCAAAGGCATCAGGGCTGGTGGTAGCCACAGATGGAAAAGTACCAGGGGTGAGAGGGCTGAAGAACAAGCAGCTTGTGGCAGCTTTTGGAAGAGGAGGAGAACAGAATGGGGCTGGAGTGAGCAGTGGAGGAGAGAGCAGGCGTCTCCCAGAGCACTGTGATAGGGTGAGGAGAGTGTGCTGGGAAATGCCATGCAAGGTTTACATTCCCTGCTGCCTGTTTACATGGAGAAAATTCCCTGCAGGGTACATGGAGCAGGCAGCTGGAGACAAAAAGCACAGGATGCCAAAACCCAACACATCACTGGCTAAGAGTTGCCTCTGCCCACCTAAGGTCCAAGAGAGGATGCATCCATCCAGACGTCTCCCCAGGGAGTTGCTCTCCATGAGCAGCTCTTTTGCCAAAAACAACCTTGAACGGGTTTCTGAGAAAAGTATACAATACTACCAGTATACATGTGGGGAAAGCCCCGTGAGGGAGAGGAGCTGGGGACGAAGCAATTGCATCCATAAGCAAGGAGACTCAGGAGCCCTAAATTAAATTCCAGTCTCTGCCATGGACTTTCTAGGTGACCTTGGCCAAATGATGTAATAGCATGTGCTTTTTAAGTGCTTTCTCTCCCTCCCATCTGTAGGATTTTAAGACTATTTCTGCCTTTCTACCAAGCCTTGTCTTGCTTGTTTATCTAAGTTGTAAGCTCTTCAGGGTGGGGACTACACATACAACACCTACCAGAATAGATTTCTCATCCCATCTGGGGCCTTTAGCCATTATAATAATAATAACTGCAGCAACCACAGCTGCATTTATACACATCTGGTAGAGAATCCTTTAGGACTGCAGACACGGAGGTTATTGTTCCAGAGGCATGACAGAGCTGCAGTTTGCCTTCCCAGGGTGGATTTTACTCCTTGTGCAGAACAGTGGCTGCTGCCTACATCTCAAAGGTGTAAGTCATGCAGAGGCTAATTAGCACATCACTAACTGTGGTGAAAGCAGATGGAGAATGGAATATAATTTTGAAAAATTAAAGAAAATAATAGTAACACCATGGATATTGAAGACTGGATCTCCGTCCACCTCCATACAGCCTGTGAGGACCACAGGGTGCCTGCCTGCTTCTTCAGGCAGGGTGCTGAGCTAGACAGGTCAGTGCTGCCATCCACACCAAGCCACACACATCACCCTGCAACTCCTTGTGAAGAAGCAGAGGCAGTACTCTGGGAGTCACAGCAGTTCAGCTGCTCAGCATGTCTTGCTCAAACTGCAAGACATACATAATACAACCAAGCTCTGATAAAACCCATTTCATCAGTAAAGCTCAAAACATCCTGCAGAAAAAGTCAATACATTTACTCTGATTTCACGGGAGGAGAAATGGAAGCACAGGCACAAAATGGCTCTTCAATTCTAAACCTTTAATCCCTCCCTGCGTTGTCAACTCATCAGAAAGGAAGACTTTTGTGCTGCCTTTCAGCCCCTGCCCTGCCTGTCTCTGCTGCCTCCCATGTCACCTCTCTTCAGCAGACACCACTGTCCTTCTGCAGGAGATTTTCAGTCGGTCACTGCGACCTCTGAACACACACAGTGACTCAGAACAGCTCTGCAAAGCAAAGGAACATCCCTGCTCAACTTCAGACTTGAGACCAAACTGAGCATGCTCTGGGTTGGAGACAAGGTGGAGAAAAGCAAGAGAAAAACATGCAGAGAGACCGACCCCATGCCCAGAGCCACTCACCTCTATCGTGGGGTCATACTCATCAACAAAATGGTTCTGAATGAGCTGTATCGTCAAAGCACTCTTCCCAACACCACCTGCTCCCACCACCACCAGCTTGTATTCAGTCATCTTCCAGCTGACCCCAGCTCAGGACTTCCAGGAGCACCACCACCTGCAAGGACAAATATGGAGACTATGCTAAGAGAGCAAAATAATCCATCAAATCAAATACAAAAACTCTGTTTATCCTGTGGTCTCTGTTGTAATCCTTCAGCCTGGCTCTTTAGATGCAACCTAACAGGTTCCTTGAGAAAACTTCAAGAGGTAGGAGAGCATTACTGATGAGAAAACAAGAGGTACAGGCTGTGTACATCAGCCCCTGAAGTAACCAGTTTAAGAACTTTGGTTTTGCAGAAGTGCCCATCGCTGTCCCCGATTTACCTCATCTCAAGCTGACGATCTTAAATCTTTAGATAGATCTGAAACCCTTGGCCAACATGAGGTTGGGATATCAATTCCCATGAGAGCAGGGGAAAAAGGTCCAGCCTTGCCCAAATATGCTGTTACCTCCATGTCTTCACCCTCAAGGCTGCGTTAAACCTCAAACCACGTGGTAGGGTTGAGATGGTGGCACATCCACACCCTCTGCCTGTCCTCCAGTTAATGGTGCTGCTACCATGAGAGGGAGGACTGCAGAAGGGGCATCCCTGCTCCTTGAGCTGAATTTGGCACACTGAACAGGGGGGGGAAGGAGATGCTGCCACAAAAGGTGCTGACTGACAATGATGATTAGGATCAGGATGAGCAAACCACACTTCCACAGTTCTGTGTACCTCCCATAGCCCTTCAGCAGCAGAAGATTCACATCCCCTCAGCTCCTCCCTTAAATTTCTGCTCCAAGACTGCTGAGAAAGAGGAACTAACTCAGGAAGATTACAAAACCCCAAAGGTTTAAATAGAAATCCACCCTCATTGGACTGCAGGCCCTGCCCACTGAAAGTCACTCCAGGGTCAGATTCTCGTTCTCAGCCACCATCTGCAAGCTCTGGGGAAGCCACCCAAAATACAGCAGGTAACAGGAAGACAAGCTCACAGTTCCCCTTGTCAGACACTCTTCAGTGTTCACAGGGATTAGAACCTCCTCCTCCACCCTCCTCCCCAGGCTTGCCAGCCCTGCTCCTAAACTCTGGAAGCTGCTACAAACTGTGCCAGGAAAGGCTGCACTAGACCCAGACCACAGCTGATGCATTTCCTAACGCAGCAAAGATCTAATGGCAAAGAGGCCAGAACTTTCTGCCTTCAATTCCCACCTGACTGCAACCCTAAACCACCCAGACAGTCCGTCTCCCTCTCAAGCAGGGAGCAATCAGACACTACCACTTCTTGCTGAAGCTCTTTCTTGAGCTGCTTGATAGCAGAAAGGCAAACAAAGCTCATGCCCTTCTCAGCATCCAGAATCCTAAAGAAGGGCAAAGGAGCAAAACAGAACCAGGTAATAAATATGATGTCAAGCAGGACCTCTGGTTTGCTGTGCTGGAGAAGCAGTTAAACATGATGGAGAAGTGGTGATGGTGGGGGGAAATTAAGTGCAAATAATGTCATACCTTAGGTGCCTACCTAGAAGTGATACTGCTTCCCCTGAAAGTCCAATGTGCCTCTGTTCTGGCAGCCAGGGAAGAGTTGCAAATTGAAAGCAAGGCTACAGGAGAAAATCTAAGTGATCTCACTAATTGACTGTGCACACACTTTACTCTGCTCCCTTAATGCATGCCCTCACATATATGATGTGCTCACATGCACTGCTTCTCAGAGACAAGAGAGATCTCCACCCCAGCCTTCTGATCTCTCTGGGAAGAGACAGGATGAAAAGGAGACTGAGGAGCAAATGCTGACTGACCAGCACAGCTGTACCAGGGGGATTGCTCTTTCAGCAAACAGCCTCACAGCTGAACACAGAGGGGTCTTGGGGGTTTGAAGAAACACCGTGACCAGCTCCCACCTTTCACTGCACAACAGGGAGATCTGCAACCCCTAGCAAAATACATGGACTTTGCTCTGCATCTACACATGGACTTTGCATCTGATGCTGATGGTGAAGCAGTTGCCACAAAGGAAAACGGCACAACTGCCCAGCCTATAGGACTTGCCAAGGCATGAGAAAAGCTTTGACTCAATATGGGGAGAGGACATAAGTTCTCTAGGAGGGGGTTCTCCCTCAAGACTATCCCAGTGGAAGGCATTTCCTACTCCTTTGGAAGACCCCCAGCCCACACAGCCATAGCAGTTTTATGGTCCAAATTGCAGCAGGAGGTGGGGACAAGGTGGGCACCCACATCAGCTTCAGTGTCTTCCCCTCTGAGCTTCACTGCACAGCAGAGGGGCAGCTACACACCAGCAAGCCCTGCATATCACCACCTTAGCACACAGTTTTAAGATCTGGCTCCTTCACAGAAACACAAACCTACATGTTCTTGTCCCCCCCTTCACCCAGGAGGCAGGGAAAATGAGGAGGGCGAAGGAACTATTGCTACTCCCCACTTGTGGCCCACACACGGACAGTTTACATACAAGAGCTCTGCAATGTTAGTGTTCACTCACTGACACCATCCCTCAAAGGTGCTGTCACCTCAGCTAACTCTCCTCTGTTCTGCCATCCTCGCCCCTGCAGTGCAGGAGAGATTGTGCAGCTTGCAGAGGAGGGCAGGTGCAGCCTACCTGCTCCATACCATTGCTGCAAACCATGTCCTAATGCAGAGTGAGAGCGTGGGGAATGATGGACAGCTCTGGGCATGAGAGCTGCCTCATTTAATGCGAGCTAAGGTCGATGCTCAGGGGAGCTCGCTTCCCTTCCCCAGTGCAAGCTCCTCACTGGCAGTGTGCAAACCCAACTGCACACCAGAGCATGGGCAAATACCATGGAAGAAGCAGCCTGGCCAAAGGCTGCAAGGAAAGCAGGGATTTCCATATGGCCAGACTTTGCCACAGAGCTGGGTCAACACCATCTCAGAACTCTCCCATCACACTTTTTGCTCCTGAGCATGGGAAGAGCAAGGCTGCTCTTTGGTGCACCCATAGTTTCATCAGAGGGGTGGCTGTTCCTCAGCACCACAGGAACATCACCATCACCACCACCACAGGGGCTGGTTCAAGAAACAACCATCCCAAAAGCAATGTTTCTGGCTTCCTATAAAACAGATGCAGGGAAGAGAGAGTGGGGTTCCTGTCAGAGAGATGGTAACAGACACCCCAGTTTTCATGCTAGTCACACACCGGATGGAGTTTACACCCGGTTGGGGGTTGTGAAAGCTGCTCCTGATGCAAGGATTTCCAGTTTCTATTGCTCAGCAGCCAACACAGAGCCCACACACAGCAGACCACAAAATAACAGAGGGAAACAAAAGCACAGCCTCCCAGTCCAACACAGAGTAGGAACAATGCTTCTACCATCAAGCTCTTCAAGATCTGAAAGTCTGATCCAGGTCACCATCTAGTGTTTCCCTATCCAAATTTATCACCTCTGCAGCACTCCACTACTACAGCCCAGAAAAGCCACACACAGGGCTGTCAAGCAACAGTTGAGAGAGAGCAAGAAGTTCCAGGAGCACCGTCTGGAAAGAGGAGGGCTGGGATCCGCGTGCCAAGCCAACAGCCCCAGCGTGGAGCTGCTGCTGCATTTCCTGACCTCGTGGATTTTCTCCTGTAGCGAGAGGGCTCCTGGCTCCCGTTCAAAGCTGTCTAGGAAAGCCTTTGCCGAGTGCTTCCGCCTGGCAGCAGCAGCTGCTCCCAGCCCAGTAGCCAGAGCCACACAGCTCCAGCAAACAGGAGCCATCTGCCAGCCTTGTGCAGGGAGCAGGGAGAGCAAGCACCCAGCCCCGGCGGACACCAACATCCCACCTTTGTCTCGCAGAGAGGGGATGGAGGCGTGGGTGAGGGCAGAGGACACACCACCTCCCCTGCCTGCACATGCTGGGTGGCAGCAGGGAGGCCCTGCCTGCAGAAACAAGGACCAAGATGCTTGGCAGAAGATATCACAGGGCTAAGACCTAAAGTAGGTCTGAGCATCAAGGCTACAGGTGTTACCCAGGGATCCAGCTGTGTCCTGCAAAAAACAACCTGATTTTCTTCATGGTCCCTATTCTCTAGCCTAGAGATGGTTTGGGAGACCTGACTGTGAAGCCTCCAGAAACTCACTCAGCAGAGGTAAGGAACTCAAGGGGCTTGGCCCCATCAGTCCATCCCACCTCACCACTACAGTTTCAACAAGAGCTCATCCATCAAGCAGAAGGGATACACAGTGGGTTTCCAACACATTCACTACAAGGGAGCCTCTGACACCCTTCCAGCAAAGTAACTGAAGGAGCTTTGTCTGTGTCTCCTGTTTCCTTCCATCACTTTGTTTCTCTCCCACGACAGACACCAAGCCAACTAAACAAGTCAAGAGACAGATTTTTGCACAACGCTGCTGTAGTAAGGCCAGCCATACCAGAACTTTTACAACTGTTCATTATTGAGCTTTCATCATCACTGCACCTGCCCTATGGGAGTTTCTGCATCTAAAGGCAACAGAAGTCAGTTTAAACTCTGCAGATCTCTTTGGGCTTATCTCACACCAGGCACCTTTTCCTCCAAAGCCCTGTCCAGAGGAGCCATACGACCACAAATGTCATTGTGTTTGATTCTATTTCCCTTCAGCAGAGATGCCCTGCAGGCACAAATGGTCTGCAGTGCTCTAGGAGAACAACACTCATCCCAATCTTTTACCAGCAGTCATCCACACCCACACGTCAGGAATCCTACTCAGTGATTTTCAAGCACTGATAAAGCAAACTTTTTTGGCTTACCCCAGTGACTGTCCAGTCTCTTCTCCTCCCTTTGCTCACGCACATGTCATCAACATCACAAAGCACAGCCTGTGGAGGGACTGAAGGAGCCTCTCCAGTGGTGTGAAATGCCACCTTTTGTTTTCACTCAAGGACCAAAATGCTCATGTCCTCTGTGGCCTCTCCAGCCCCAGAGAGATTAGGGAACTGAGGCTGGCAAGCTGATGCTCTGTTATGAAGCCTACTCAATGCTTCATTTTTTCATTTTAATTTACTTGTTACTTTTTAAGTCAATAAGTGAGCTACAAATCTAACCAATTGTGCCTGTTGTTGGCTTGCTGTCTGTGTACCT